GCGTGTTAGCTCAGGGCTGGTGTGTTAGCTTGAGTCTAGCGTGTTAGCTCAGGGCTGGTGTGTTAGCTTGAGTCTAGTGTGTTAGCTCAGGGCTGGTGTGTTAGCTTGAGTCTAGTGTGTTAGCTCAGGGCTGGTGTGTTAGCTTGAGTCTAGCGTGTTAGCTCAGGGCTGGTGTGTTAGCTTGAGTCTAGCGTGTTAGCTCAGGGCTGGTGTGTTAGCTTGAGTCTAGTGTGTTAGCTCAGGGCTGGTGTGTTAGCTTGAGTCTAGTGTGTTAGCTCAGGGCTGGTGTGTTAGCTTGAGTCTAGCGTGTTAGCTCAGGGCTGGTGTGTTAGCTTGAGTCTAGCGTGTTAGCTCAGGGCTGGTGTGTTAGCTTGAGTCTAGTGTGTTAGCTCAGGGCTGGTGTGTTAGCTTGAGTCTAGTGTGTTAGCTCAGGGCTGGTGTGTTAGCTTGAGTCTAGCGTGTTAGCTCAGGGCTGGTGTGTTAGCTTGAGTCTAGCGTGTTAGCTCAGGGCTGGTGTGTTAGCTTGAGTCTAGTTTGTTAGTTCGGGGCTGGTGTGTTAGCTTGAGTCTAGTTTGTTAGCTCGGGGCTGGTGTGTTAGCTTGGGTCAAGCTTAGTGGTCAGCAACATACAGCTCCGGAGCCACATGCAGCTCTTTTACTGCCCTGTTGCGGCTCCACAGAATCAGATTTGTAGGTAAAAATAAAATAATCCTCCTTTACAGTAAAATAAACTTAAACTCTGGAGTTAATGTAGAACTGCTAATTCACCCTTTAACCCTGAAGATCAGTGCAGACTACTGGTCACCATAGCAACACAGACGACAATCTCGCCTAGCTAGTGGCTAACAAAACAGCAAAGAGAGAGATTAAAGACGGACATCGATAATTTAGAGACGAATGGACTTATTTGTGTTTATAGTCACTCCAGCTGGTTTCCTGATACGTTTAATCTGCAACGAGAAAGAAACTAAAAAGTCGTGAAGATGAAGTCAGTTTCTGATTCGCCAGCTTCTTGTTTGAATTTCTCTGTTCCACCTTAAATGGTGCAGCAGTTTCATTTAAGGTGGAAAGGAAAAATTCTAACGAGATGATGGCGAATCAGAACCGACTTCAGCCTCATAAAAAGTCAAACGTTGAGAGATATTTTTCAAGAAAATGTTCTACTTTTGTGGAAAAGTTTCCTGCCAGAGATGCTGGGAAAAGCGGCTGTAGCTGAGCTAAATCTTAAAGCAGAGCAAAGTGAGTCTGTGTTTTCGTTTATATTATATTTTTAGTCTATACTAGAACATCAGCACATACTGAGACATATTTACAGCCAAGATGGTGAAACATTATTAGTGAAATGGACATGAAATGTTGAGGCTCCCAAAGTGGTTTGATTTTTGTTGAAACTTGACAGAATGGCTCTTCTTAACATTTGGGTTGCGACCCCTGGTCTAGCGTGTCCGCTCAGAGGCTAGTGTGTCACCTCGGGGGCTATTGTGTTGTCTTGGGGGCTGCTGTTTTTGTTCTGGCTTAGTGTTAAACACTTACAGGCCTGACTGCAATACTGTTCTCATACTCAGTCACTCTCTTTCCCTGGATGGATATATCCCACTCATTCTGCACACAGTGGTCTCTTTCAGAGCAGGCCGAACAATGGTGGTCTCACAGACATGTGTATAGGGGGCACGGAGTGTAGGAGGTGGTCTGAGTCACATGCTAGCTGTGTGTTGGTGGTGTGATGTGGAGAATAGATACAGATGATGATTATGATGGAGACACTTCAGCTGTTCTAGTCTCAGTGCTCTGTCTTTGTGCTGTATTATAAGTAGTGTAGTCACAATACTGAAATTTCCAACTTTGGTACAGTATTTTAGTAAGTATCAGTATTTGAAACCTGTTTAAACGCCAAAGAAGGAAGGGGGATCGAATTTTCTGAATCAATATGTATCGATATTTTTAACAACACTGAGTGTGTTTACATCCACTTAATAAACTGATAACTGTAGAAAATCATATTTTGTCAGTACCTGATTCAGCATGTTTATCAGATAATGGGGAAACTCTGGGTCTGCATCAGGCAGTAATCAGATTTCTGCTTTCCAATCGGCCAATAAACTTACAGAATAAGACAAGATGTAAAACGTGACATAAAACTCAAACGTCATGCTGCAGCTTTAAACATCTAGTCACTTTAGTGGAATACACAAATAAATATAATCTAGAAGATTAAGAATATTCAGATTCTTCATTTTGTCGAGTGTGTCGTCGTTTTCAGCGTCGCTGCGTCTCGCGGGTGCTGCGTTAAACGCTGCTCGCTGTTTCCGGGACTCTGTTTTCACACATGCTCACACTGAGAGAAACGAAAGAAATCAGAGTAAGAGTTTACAGCACTGAAAACCCCATTACTGAGCTCAAATCAGCCTCTTTATCAAATTTCTCAATCTGATGTATAGACCTTAATCTGATCTAAGAAATCAGTGTTTGTTTACATGACCACTTAATAATCAAAAAACTGC